GTCTCCAATCTTGCTAGCAGTTCGATGCTGATTCCGCTGACGACGAGCACGATTTGCGAGGCAGCGCCAGGCTGCAACAGGATCTGAAATTGCCTCGGCGGTGTGGCCCTTATTATGACCACGTCCTTCACTGAGTACTCGATGCCAAACGCCGCTGTGCCACTCGTAACGAAAGGAATTCGGATTTGTGGGATAATCTGGGTAATAATCTGGCCGATTTTGGCCATCAGGGCATTCAGGCCCCGATGGGTGATCCGGATGACAGCTCCAGGCATTGATCCGTATGGCACGCCGAAAGCGGCGGGTTGACCTTGGACCCCGCCGCCATTCGCCAACAGCAGGGCAAGGAACCATATTATGACGCTACTTAGGAACATGGCTTCTTTCTTCGCCTTCATGCGGAATACCATGGCGCTCGCTCGATGCCAAAACAACGGTAATGTCGAAGATGTCGATCGCTGCGAACAAGTTTACTAAAAAGTTGCGAACTGCTATTCACAAACAGACCTGTTTGACAAGCTGAGATAGCCTAATCAAATTTTATAATTTATCCTACTGACGACCACGAAAATCAGTCGTTCGTTTTTCATATGAAATTTATCATCATATCAACGGTCTCTCAGACATCGGCCGGTCAAATGATCACTGAGGTGATTCGAGTGACAAGGAAATGGAACGGGAGCAGGTTGCATCGTTCGAAACGCAACGGAATCGGGACCGCGAAAGTTATGGTAGAACGAAGCACGAAAGACGAGGACGAGGTACACGATTGCTTCCCACACAAAGACTGCCCAGATATTCCGGCATAGCGATCATCCGAAAGTTTCCCAATTCCGCCGGTAAAGAAAATATTTTGGTTTTGAGATACCGGATTTACTCGACGTAGGCGCACGGCACGGACTCTCGCCTCTAGTCTTTTATGGAGGCCATTTAATCAGGCCACGGCTCCATGTTTTTTGATCAGCTGCGAGTGCATTGGATGCACAGCAGCATCTGTGGGTTAGACTGAACAGGGGTGCCTTCCGCCATGAGAAATGCGCCATTGTCCACGGACAAATATATAGACTGTAAGAGGTTACCCGATGCTCTGGGGTAGCTACCGCATCGTAGCATTCCAATTCTACCAGTATTCATGCCATTTCAATTTACTGAACGCTGCTTATGTTTCAGCTTTATAACAACAGAAACTGGTAACCACCAAGCACTCGTCTAAAAAAGTGTTTTGTTTCGATGGATATGAAAACGAAGACGATTTAAAGTCGAAGACGCCGCAAAGCCCACTTTCCCGACAGTTCTTGATAGGGTACAAGCAGTGTATATTCTGTCGATGAACAATTCACTAGTTGCCTGATACGTCGGCTCTCATATGTCCTTTACTGTGAATCTTCTTCATGCCTCTTCCACGCTTGCAACCATGGATAAGAATGAAATTCATCGAATACCAGTCAATTCTAATTTTTCTTTTTAAGCGTTCCATTGAGTATGAGTCTAATGCTGGTCATTTTATTATTCATTTGTCCAATGTATAATCACTTAAGTTATCTTGTGACATTTTCAGAAATTCACTGCAGTCCTTACCAGGCATGGGTCGTCGTTTAAGAACCGAGATATGTATTGTGACTGACCGCGTCTGTCGCTCAGACTGCCTCTGCATGAAGGGACTAAGTTCTTTAGCGATTCCGTGATATTTCGATCATTAATGCACGTGTGACACTCGATTGCCGTTCCATCACGAAAAGGTTTATTTTGGAAGTAAACAGAGACAACCAAAGAACAATTTATGGTTAATATATTCAGCTCACACAGATAGCCCACTTCATGGTGCTCGTCATTATCAAGGAGTCAAAGTGTCCCCCGGATTTGACGCATTTTTTCCTGATCGTGCGCCAGTAGACGAACCACATGTCCGATGCAGATGATTCCTTCTTAGTCGAAAGCCCGCTTGGAAGAACCGAAGTTTACGGCTGAGGGTGCTTCTTCCCATGACCAACTCTCATATACAGAAATGCACGAATAGCTTGCCCTCCTCTGACTCATGTCGTATGACTGTTCCGCAGGTCAAAGGGTCGCCTACGACACACGAAGTTTAAAGGATTGCATCACAGGCAAGCATGTTTCACGGTTACACATTTCAAAGCGATACTTCACATTAATAGATAAGTTGAGGACCTGCGATTGATAAACATAGTAAATATAGCAGTTAATCATTTAATGATATTTTGAACTATTAACTCCGCCGTTGCCGGTCCTAAGCCCGGATGAGAAAGGAGGAGGGTTGGAGACCGTGGCAAGTCTCCGTAAAATTCAGCCA